TTTTCGGTCGCTTGTGTTTACTAACACAATAAGGTATTTCGGTGAAATGAGGTGTAACAAAAAAAAACTGTCAACGTTGTAACCTGATTAAGGGATATTCGTTTCCCATTAAGGTGTCTAAATATTAGCTTATACTAAGTAAGCATTGGGTTAGAGTTCTAATATTAAGTAGGTATTCTATGTCTTTTTTTTACTTATTGCTTAGATGGCTGGACGAGCTCACCGCCCACCTGGTGTTAAGTGGTTAGTGGAGCCCATAGACATGTACAACGTAAATGTCGCCACCCAGCTTGAGATATAAGTTCTAATGTCTCAGTATAGTTACAACGGCTGCCCCACCCTTCAAACCGAAACGCACGGCAGAAATAGGCGGGGCGATGGTACCTACCCGTGCGGACTCACAAGAGGTCCTACCACCAGTAAAAAGATGTTTTCGGCGTATTTATAGTTTAATTTCCAATACAATATGAACTTTAAGTGAACAGAGCTATACATTATTTAGGGTTGCTTCGAAAATAATGTCATATTATTATGTAGGTAGTATATAAGAATGCAAAATACAAAGCATCCACACACGGACTTGGAATTTCACACACAGACAGTTTATCATTAGAAGAAAAATATTGGAAGTCGTCGTGGCCTCATAGATAAAACGTCCGTTGCATTCATATCGAGCGATACGACTGGGCCGGTCTTCGAATACCGCAAGCTAATACCAATTTTTTATAATGAAATACATACTTAATACATGTCCGTGAACTACTTCCACGATGAACGAATAGTATAGTGTAATATTTTTTTTTTTTATTGCCCTTGTAGGCAGACGAGCATACGGCCCATCTGATGGTGAGTGGTTACCGTCGCCCATGGACTTCAGCAATGCCAGGGACAAGATCAAAACCTGCCTAAGATCAAAATGTAGTATCGTGTAATAAAAATCATATATTATAATTTGCTACAATTGTGGCATCTAAATAGATTTAAATACTCAAGATCAAACTGTAAAAGTAATTTTAATTACTAGATATTAGTTACATTATCCGGTACACCGGTTAGGTTTCTTACGTGGATCTAATTTCGGAAACATTATCAGAATCCAATTAATTTGAACAAATAATTTGGTGTAGCAAAAAAAATCGAATAGTAATTACAAACAATTCAGATTTTTAAATTACTTACGTAACATAAAAGCACAAACGAAGAATAAAACACCCTTCTAACATAAGTTACAATTATGTGAATAAAATCATGAAGTCAAGAATAAAATTAAATTATTGTAAATAAACAACAAGGGTCCGTTCTAGAACATTCTGAAATTGGAGAATTCATTCTGAGGACGTTGCTGGAATTGACATAAAATGTACAGTAAAACCAGAAATAATCTTTCAAAACTGAGCCCCATTGCTTATACGTGCGGTAAAGCTATCCCTCGAGGAAAAAAAAAAAGTTCAATCGACTGGTTTACGAATAAAATTCATAATAACAAAAAACTCAAATAAATTTGACCGATTATGCAGTATACAAGATCTCCCTAACCAAAAAATAACTCTTTAATCGTGTTACTTTCACAGTAAAATATATATTCAAAATTTCTCGGAAATCAGTAATAGCTTCTTTTTTACTTATTCACGCTTGAATGCGACAAGTGTATTCACACTTATTAAAAAACAAATGTTATAGTCATTGTAGTTGCAAATAACGGGCACTTACTATAATTGTTCTCGTGTTTATTAATCATTTCATTGCGTGTCGATAGAAACTATTAAAAAAAGATCTATGGGAAATCCAAGATGGCGCACGTTTCGCGCGCTTTCCTATACCACTTTTTCTTTTAGCCGTTGTGGGAAGAGTTTTTCATACCAGTTCACTTTCAACAATGTTTTGTTTGTATTAATTTTATCGATGGATACTAATTAACGATTTCTCTGATGATCAGTGAAATTTTATTATTCAATAAGTATCTAATTTAAACAATAAGAAAAATACATAATTATTTGAAATTGAAATTGCTCTTTTTGCCAAAATTGAGTCACGATTTCGTTTCTATATAAGAATCGTTAATTTTTTTTACCAAAATTTTGTTTAATTTTGCTTCTTGTTTTATCTACTTTTGTTTTATAGATATGCCTACAAGTAACAACTAATTATAAATCTGTTCGTGCAGTGTAACATTCTGATCAAATGCATATCCGACCTTAGCCATTTATGTTTTAAGACACTGTTTCGCTTGACGTCTAAATTTTGAACATCACGCAAACATCCTTGGGCCATAGAAAAATAATATGACGACAACGCACTCCATACGCCGCGCCGCCTTTGTTTTCAATACCGATATACCCTCAAATTATTTATTTTCCGTTCACCCCTTCCCAGAACACCGCAATATGACTTCAACTCGCCGCCGTGTAAGTTTCAACACTTTCTTTTAACTAACGCGCAACGCGAAACGGAGCGAGGGGAGTGAAATTTCTATTTTCGGACATACAATTTCAGTTTGTTTCCCGCGTGAGGCGCGACGGCCGCCATTGCGCTGTTTCCGAAAACCAACAAAATTTTACTTACTTTAATAAAAACGTCATCGGAATTTCGATTTTTGAATAATGACCGTTGACGCCACAGCGACATCTGTGTCCGGTGTTAATATCAAAGTAAGTTTTTTGTAGATTGAATATTTCCGTTTTCGACTGTAACAGGACTGCGGTGTGAATATAGCTTCATAGCATATGCGTTGAACGGGAGAGTCCTTTTCCCGGGACGACTATGAAGTTTGCAATGTTTATATTACATTTCTACTTGAATATAGCGGTGTTTGAAAGGAGACTGCGTTTGTCTTGCAGTGTATTTTTCAGAGCGTTCTTAATCTAAACTTTGAATTATGCTTCAATAATTATAGATAACGGTTGTACTAGTAATTACGTATTTTTTTTAGATACACTAGTATAATATATGACCAATTATTTTTTTAATGTTCAGAATTAGAAACATCTTATTTTCACGATAAATAATAAGAACAGCCAATATTTGATACATGAGATATATGTATATCAACGATAAGAAAGGAATGTTACTTCCATTTTATAAGTAATTTAAACAATCAAACGGTAATGCAAAATAGTCAAAGATGACTATTATTATTTCATGCTCATTTAAAAACAAATACAAGGGGGAAGTATAGCTTTGAGAATATCTATAATATATAAATATCAATAATTTTTAGTTTGGAAGTTTAAAAAAAAAACAATCTCAAATGAATTTTTTTGCCAATCTATATCCATTAGTATTACCAATTTAGACAGAATAAAAGAAAATGTCGACTGGTTTAATATAATATCCTATATAAACTCTATAATCGTTATGAAAAACATACGAAAAACGATATCATAAGGAACCTTTTAATACGAGATAATACACGGAACGAATCATTCGTTAGTCAACATGACTCAATCAATACATGTTTATTTTACACTCGATTCACTTTTACAACGATGACATATCGATTTCTTTTATTGATAGTGTTGATGATAGGTGAGTACTTAAGCGTGCGTGCCGACCGTGAAGGATAAAACTCTAAGTCAAATTAAAGCAAACTTCTGAACATCAACACTTCAAAACTGATCTTCGATGACGTCAGTCCAGAATGAGCATGAACTCTGAATCACTCACGCCATTTGAGGCCGTCAGCGCAAAAGTGGCCTAAGCTTACCATAGTTAGTATGGAGGCGATTAGGTTTGAATTTTCATGAATTTGAATTTGAGTAGGCAAAAAAGTAATACGCGCAAAAATAATGTTTACAAAGCTGTCTGTTATCTATGAGTGAAACTATGGATAGGCCGTTTTTGCATCAAAATTTATTATATTTTAAATTAATTCTAATATAAATATAAACTTGAATACAAAAAATTGTGGGTTAGGCCACTTTTGCCTTGACGGCCTCATTTGTAAAAGGGTTATTCTAAGTCGTGAATTCAACTTTTGGAACTTTAGGCTTCGCTTTTGTTGTCACTTATTTATATATCCAGATATTGAGCATTCCTCTGAAAACGGTCACTTAAAAGCCGTAGTACTAAAAATTATGCGAACTTTTTCCTTGTAGAAGAAATGTAGTCAAAAGCTAATTTTCCTTTCTTGTGGTATCGCTCTCGTCAGAGCGGTTATGGTCATTACTCCTGATTTGTGGTGAGCCATGTACATCCATGTAAACAGCCGCCATGGCAACTGCCGACTTGACTTGGTCGATCCATCGCACAGGCAACCTTCCAAAAGTGAATAAAGTAATAATAATAAAATTGGAATATCAATTGTTATTTGTTCAAATAGAATTTTTAAAGGAATTTTATGACCTGGTAACTGAAACCTTTAAGTCATGTCTGTTTTAATTTATATTCTTATTTTTATGAAAAATCATTAAATGAAATGAAGATGATTAATTTGAGATATTAATCAAATGAGATGAGATTATATGGGATGAAATACAAACTCAGTAAAATGGTGGTCATTTACTGAGATTTTTTCAGTGGACTTTTTGGAGGATCCCGAGAAGCTACGTCCAGCGGCTTTGTTTCATTTTCCCACATCTGTGCACTTTCACGCTTTTTCACATATATTAAACAGTTAATAATAAACCACCGTTATTACACATCTAAACCTGAAGAAACACCAACTTACCCCTACACCAGACGGCACTCACGTCACTTACCACTACACTACACCAGACGACCGTTTAACGTATTTAAGTTGAGTATAGTATACTCGTATACTAGAAAGAACAAATCTCTATGACCACTCATCATACATAATAATATATCTATTTAGTGCTGCATCTGTTAAGCTAGGTGTGTAACAGAACACCTTCCAACAACTTGCAGATCGTTGAGTCCCACATACCCCGCGCGCCCCCTAGGCGCGGGGACCTCGTAAGAGGTACGGCCAAGGGCCCGAAAAAAAAAAAGGTGTGTAACAATATCTAATTACTGACAAGAAACCATTTAAATTGTTCCAGAGCTCTCAAAACCGGCTTCTGATCAAGAATGGGAGGATCGTTAACGACGATGGTATCGAGGAGGCTGACGTCTACATTGAAGACGGCATCATCAAGTGAGTTTTTGTTCCGCATCCCATTCCGGCAGAAGAAAAGCGGTTCAATGTCAAATTGTTAAAAACAGGCGAATACTGTACATTCATTAGTGTCTGGCGATCATCTTTTTTTGCTATAGGTACAATCGTTGGTAGTCTAAGAGGCTATTCCAAATTCGCGTGGAGCTGTAAGTGAGCTAACGAACTCAACTTGAGAGAATTGCTAACACTGGCCCTAACAAGAGCGGTGTTCCGCTGAATCTGCTATCGGATGAGAATTTTCGGCGAGAGACAGGCAATCAATCGACGCGATCGGTAATGTACTGCAAACATTACGCAATAGAGCCCGCGTTCTACTTAAGCGGTAGTTACTATAAGCGGTAGGCAGCGGCTTGACTCTGCCCCTGGCCTTGTTGACCTCTATGAGCGACGGTAACCACTTACCATCAGGTGGGCCCTATGCTGTATTTACTGGTGGTAGGACTTCTTGTGAGTTCGCGCGGGTAGGTACCACCATCCTGCCTATTTCTGCCGTGAAGCAGTAGTGCGTTTCGGTTTGAAGGGTAGGGCAGCCGTTGTAACTATACTTGAGACCTTAGAACTTATATCTCAAGATGGGTGGCGCATTTACATTGTAGATGTCTATGGGCTCTAGTAACCACTTAACACCAGGGGGGCTATGAACTCGTCCACCCATCTGCGTAATAAAAAAAATACTAGTCTGCCTGATCGGGCAATAAAAAAAATCTTGTAACTGATTTTTCATCCTCACGTAATACTCGCGTTAAGAATGAAGGGAATTTTGTCGGAGCGCACGCAAAAAACCTATCGCAAACGTATTGTTTATTGTTTTACGCACCTCAAAATCAGAAAACTGGTTCAATTACTATCGTTATCGCGTCGCTCTGGTCCGCGAGTAGAACGCCCACGCCATAGAAAGCGGTCACTCTTGTCCTCCGACGAAAACATTACGATAGTGTGAATGTTGCTTCGACAAACAAACTGACAAGCTAACATTATGTGTTATTTTTTTTGCCTCTAAAGGCAGAGCGTGCAATAACCATGATACGCAGAACCTTGATAAGGAATACTTATTTAACACTCGTGGTTTTTAATACGCTTTTATTAGCTTCAGACGTATATGTATGTTTGTAACGGAATCTTTGAACATGATTTGACCCCCTTCAAAACGTCGGATTAACTCGAAATTTGGTATACTTATTAAGGACCGATGACAATTCAGTATATTAAAAAAAATTGAAAAAATTTAAATTCAACTAAAAAATGAAAAGTACTTAAATAATAGTTTAAAACAAACTAACAAAACACGCTTTTATAGAAAATCCAACTAAAAAATAGAAAATAAATTTTAATAAACTTGAATTAAAAATAGTGTTAGTAATTTTGTTGTAAAAAATTTCTTGTAAACAAAGCGTGGCGTGCATGGTATCAGTAGTTATAAATATTTTATGAACATATGAGTCGTCTATTATCAAAGGTGGCAATCTGTGCATTTGGACAAAAAAAAATTATTGATATGTCAATACAGATTGATTTGAATATAATCGTCTCCTTCAAAGAATACGGTTCAAAACCTGCATTAAATAAAGGTTAATAGTTAACCTGTTATTTATCTAAGATGTCGTTCCGAAGAGTTTTGTGACTGCCAATGGAATACAAAGTCAATAATTCGTTTTTCTGATTTACCAATCATTGTCCAAAAGTCAGATTGCCGGCTTTGATAATAGTCGACTCATNCGGTAACTACATTCCCGATCCTGCGGACAGAATGGAAAGCAGTCGACGTCGCCCAAAACACGTCATCTCGGATCCTCCCGATCCACTAACGGTGCTTTTAGGTACTTCAAGCACCGGTCACCGTTCTCGTCGAACCCGTCGCTTGCGACGAAGGGCTCGACGAGTAAATTAACTCTCAGACACAGCCCACTGAGTTTCTCGCCGGATCTTCTCAGTGGGTCGCGTTTCCGATCCGGTGGTAGATTCTGCGAAGCACGGCTCTTGCTAGGGTTCGTGTTAGCAACATCGTCAGGTTTGAGCCCCGTGAGCTCACCTACTAAAGTTAAGGTTACGCTGACATAGCCGCTAGGGCTATCAGCTTAGGTAGGAAAAAAAAAAAAAAAGTCTGCTTCATAACGTGTCATGTAGACACAAGATTTCACTTGAGGAATACCTTTCTTATATTCTTTATTTCTCTCTTTAATTTCTCAGATGGGTGGACGAGTTCACGACCCACCTGATGTTAAGCGGTTGCCGGAGCTAAATAGACATCAAATACCTTGAGACATGAGTTCTAAGTCTCGATTTTATAGCAGAACCGCTGGTTTATCATTCAGATCTAATTACTGCTTCACGGCGGAAATAGGTAGGGTAGTATCTACCCGTGCCGGCTGACAAGTCGCCCAACCACCAGTAGTCGCTTGTAAAGGCATAATAAATCGGCAAATGAAGTATTATCAGTAAATTAATTTAAGTTTTTGTCGCATATTGTGGGCATCGGTAACTCCATATGATAAATATCATCAAATACAGACCCTGGGATTTTAAACCGGAATCCAAGGTAAAAGACTGCGTGTTATTTACCGTTAGGTCACCAAGGTACATCCCGAGACCTGGTGCAATTTTCTTTATCGCCTCTCAAGAAAGCGCCACTAACCCGGAAAACCTTACACGCAAGTGTAACTCAATTACTGAGACGATAGCGTTACGGTCGATAAGAATCGTTAATAACCATAACAAATACACTTTCATAGTTTCAACAGTGATATACTAAACAACCGTCCGTTTCCGGTCACCGTCCTCGTCGAACCCGTCGCTAGCGACGAAGGGCTCGACGAGCGAACTAACCAATAGACAGTGGGTCGCGTTTCCGATCCGGTAGTAGATTCTGCGAAGCACTGCTCTGGCTAGGGCCAGTGTTAGCAACTCTCCGATTGAGACCCGCGAGCTCACCTACAAATATTAGGGCGAAGCTGAAATAACCTCTCAAGGCTATCAGCATAGGTAAGATAAAAAAAAAAAAACTAAACAACAGTACATGCAAATATTGCTTATTAAGCTGACAGATCCTGTCTGATCGGCGGTAGATAGCGAATTGGCTCGGAATAGTGATTCTGATATTGCCGTGAGCGACAGTAATCAGTCACCACCAGCTGAGTTGTATACTCGTCTGCCTATTAAGCCAATAAATAAATAATATGTAGTTTAAAAAAACTAACAAAATACGCTTTTGTAGTAAATCTAACTAAAAAATAGAAAGGGTGCTACAACAGACGCTCAGGTGAGGTTAAGAGTCTAGTGATAAATCAAGCTTGGTTATGCCTATTGCTGATTTTAGTAAACAAAAGAAACACATATTAAGTCTAACAGGGCTATTGCACAGAAACTTCTAGTATATGATGTATTCGTACGAGCGGATGTTTCTTCAAATTGTAATCCCTATATTGAACGCTTGGTAAATTGTTTAGATAAAGTACATATCACAAACAAACAGTATTAATTAGAACTACCTACTTTTGCGGCTTAATCTTTTTTTACTGTCCTCATTTATTGTCATGTCAATTTCCGATGTTTCAAATACTTAATAGTTTTTGTGGTCACGAATAACTAGTGTTATTATGCTAACTACGCGAGACCGGGTGAAGTGGAGATAGCTTGTGAGGGCCCTATGCACCAGCGGGGTACCTTAGGACCACAACAGTTACTACACATTTCATCAATTCGTATCGTATCAATGGTTACCCATACAAACCTTACTCCAAATTCTTAAAAATTGCTCGTCCAGCATATAACATATTTCGTATATTCATACTATGCACATCGAACATATGATACCAATTGTGTTAGCATAAGAAATATAACCGGAAAAAAAAGAAGATCATTATGCAAAAATTGTAACGATTTTTAAAATTAGATGTGTAAGCTTTAGGATTGTAAGACTGCACGCAAAAATTAAGTAAAAACTCCCGATCCATAGCCCTTACATTAGGTAAAAATAAAAATAAAAAAAATTAATTCAAACGTAATATTAAGAGCCATGTCAACGACATGGGAAAAAATTGTGAAGGCAAAATTGGAGGTTTTAGCTTGCTGGATTCCAGCGCTGCCCGAGCCCGGGTGGTGCTGGGTGTCCATGATGGATTTTCCCTCCTGTTTTGTCTGTATATTAAAAAAAAACATATGATAGCTAAAGTATGAACTTAACTCATCGGCTTCATTCAGCAGAAGTTCGATCAATAATCTAACTCGAGTTTTTGGCTCGGTTCCAACAATAGCATCTCAAGAAGGAAAACCTAATTTCATGTGTTGCCTTATCCGTCCGAGGATCGTCCTTATTTGGCGTGCCCATTTTAGTTAGCGAGAAACTAAATGCGTATTTATCTACACTAACTAAAATACATATGTACACGTGTAATATATGTACTTGAGCTGTTCGCTATAAAAAAATAACGTGTCGAAAATTGAGTGATATGTCATGAGTTTCTTTAGTGTCGACTCGTAATTCGTTCGTCATAATTACTGGTGGTAGGACCTCTTGTGAGTCCACACGGGTAGTTACCACCACCCCAAATATTTTTACCGTGAAGCAGTAATGCGTTTCGGTTTGAAGGTTGGAGCAGGCGTTGTACTGTTAAAACTGAAACGTTACAACTTGAGGTGGGTGGCTGCATACGTTGTAGATGTCTGTGGGCTCCGGTTACCACTTAACGACAGTTAGGCCGTGAGCTCGTCCAACCATCTAAGCCAGGGCTCCCAAACTTATTTTGTCTACTGCCCATTTTGATAATAAATTATTGTTTAGCGCCCCCATTTTTTCACTTAATTAAAAACCACTATAGCGAGAGCTCAATCGTTGTCTGATATGAAATTACAAATCGCCTCCCAAGCCTCTTCACAACGCCCCCATTTTTTACCTTTAGGCCTGCAAGGGAGGCGTTATTGCCCACTTTGGAAAAGGCTGATCTAAGCTATAAAAACGGCTGCTTTAGCGTAAATACCTATAT